GTGATTTGATGATATGGTAAGGGTGAGTGATTTGATGAGATGGTTAGGGTGGCTTAATGTGGTTAGGGTGAGTGATTTTATGAGGTGGTTAGGGTGAGTGATTTTATGAGGTGGTTAGGGTGGCTTAATGTGGTTAGGGTGAGTGATTTTATGAGGTGGTTGGGGTGAGTGATTTTATGAGGTGGTTAGGGTGAGTGATTTGATGAGGTGGTTAGGGTGAGTGATTTGATGAGGTGGTTAGGGTGAGTGATTTGATGAGATGGTTAGGGTGGCTTAATGTGGTTAGGGTAAGTGATTTGATGAGATGGTTAGGGTGAGTGATTTGATGAGGTGGTTAGGGTGAGTGATTTGATGAGATGGTTAGGGTGGCTTAACGTGGTTAGGGTGAGTGATTTGATGAGATGGTAAGGGTGGCTTAATCTGGTTAGAGTGAGTGATTTGATGAGGTGGTTAGGGTGAGTGATTTGATGAGGTGGTTAGGGTGAGTGATTTGATGAGGTGGTTAGGGTGAGTGATTTGATGAGATGGTTATGGTGTCTTAATGTGGTTAGGGTGAGTGATTTAATGAGATGGTTAGGGTGAGTGATTTAATGAGATGGTTAGGGTGTCTTAATGTGGTTAGGGTGAGTGATTTAATGAGGTGGTTAGGGTGAATGATTTGATGAGATGGTTAGGGTGAGTGATTTGATGAGATGGTTAGGGTGAGTGATTTAATGAGATGGTTAGGGTGAGTGATTTAATGAGATGGTTAGGTTGAGATATTTGATGAGATGGTTAGGGTGGCTTAAAGTGGTTAGGGTGAGTGATTTGATGAGATGGTTAGGGTGAGTGATTTAATGAGATGGTTAGGGTGAGTGATTTGATGAGATGGTTAGGGTGGCTTAATGCGGTTAGGGTGAGTGATTTGATGAGATGGTTAGAGTGGCTTAATGTGGCTTGGGTGAGTGATTTGATGAGATGGTTAGGGTGGCTTAATGTGGTTAGGGTGAGATATTTGATGAGATGGTTAGGGTGGCTTAATGTGGTAAGGGTGAGTAATTTGATGAGGTGGTTAGGGTGAGTGATTTGATGAGGTGGTTAGGGTGAGTGATTTGATGAGGTGGTTAGGGTGGCTTAATGCGGTTAGGGTGAATGATTTGATGAGATGGTTAGGGTGGCTTAATCTGGTTAGGGTGAGTAATTTGATGAGGTGGTTAGGGTGAGTGATTTGATGAGGTGGTTAGGGTGAGTGATTTGATGAGGTGGTTAGGGTGGCTTAATGTGGTTAAGGTGAGTGTTTTGATGCAGTGGTTAGGGTGAGTGATTTGATGAGATGGTTAGAGTGGCTTAATGTGGTTAGGGTGAGTGATTTGATGCAGTGGTTAGGGTGAGTGATTTGATGAGGTGGTTAGGGTGACTGATTTGATAAGATGGTTAGGGTGAGTGATTTGATGAGATGGTTAGGGTGGCTTAATGCGGTTAGGGTGAGTGATTGATGAGATGGTTAGGGTGAGTGATTTGATGAGATGGTTAGGGTGGCTTAATGTGGTTAGGGTGAGCGATTTGATGAGGTGGTTAGGGTGGCTTAATGTGGTTAGGGTGAGTGATTTGATGAGGTGGTTAGGGTAAGGGATTTGATATGATGGTTAGGGTGAGTGATTTGATGAGATGGTTAGGGTGAGTGATTTGATGAGATGGTTAGGGTGGCTTAATGTGGTAAGGGTGAGTGATTTGATGAGGTGGTTAGGGTGAGTGATTTGATGAGATGGTTAGGGTGAGTGATTTGATGAGATGGTTAGGGTGGCTTAATGTGGTTAGGGTGAGTGATTTGATGAGATGGTTAGGGTGGCTTAATGCGGTTAGGGTGAGTGATTTGATGACATGGTTAGGGTGGCTTAATGTGGTTAGGGTAAATGATTTGATGAGGTGGTTAGGGTGAGTGATTTGATAAGATAGTTTGGGTGAGTGATTTAATGAGATGGTTAGGGTGAGTGATTTGATGAGGTGGTTAGGGTGAGTGATTTGACGAGATGGTTAGGGTGGCTTAATGTGGTTAGGGTAAGTGATTTGATGAGATGGTTAGGGTGAGTGATTTGATGAGATGGTTAGAGTGGCTTAATGTGGTTTGGGTGAGTGATTTGATGAGGTGGTTTGGGTGAGTGATTTGATGAGGTGGTTAGGGTGAGTGATTTGATAAGATGGTTAGGGTGAGTGATTTGATGAGATGGTTAGGGTGAGATATTTGATGAGATGGTTAGGTAGACCTGGAGGCGGAGTCTTCTTGAAGAACTGAAGCCAATAGGGATGTCTTGGGAGATGTCAAAATTAATGGCCGAGGATAGGAAGAAATGGAAGGAAATGGTGGAGGCCCTATGCTCCATAAGGAGCAAAGAGGACTAAGTCAAAGTAAGTCAAAGTTAGGTAGGCTTAATGCGGTTAGGGTGAGTTATTTGATGAGATGGTTAGGGTGAGTGATTTGATGAGGTGGTTAGGGTGAGTGACTTGATGAGGTGGTTAGGGTGAGTGATTTGATGAGATGGTTAGGGTGAGTGATTTGATGAGATGGTAAGGGTGAGTGATTTGATTAGATGGTTAGGGTGAGTGATTTGATGAGATGGTTAGGGTGGCTTAATGTGGTTAGGGTGAGTGATTTAATGAGGTGGTTAGGGTGACTGATTTGATGAGATGGTTAGGGTGTCTTAATCAGTTAGGGTGAGTGATTTGATGAGATGGTTAGGGTGGCTTAATGCGGTTAGGGTGAGTGATTTGATGACATGGTTAGTGTGGCTTAATGTGGTTAGGGTGAGTGATTTGATGAGGTGGTTAGGGTGAGTGATTTGATAAGATAGTTTGGGTGAGTGATTTAATGAGATGGTTAGGGTGAGTGATTTGATGAGGTGGTTAGGGTGAGTGATTTGACGAGATGGTTAGTGTGAGTGATTTGATGAGATGGTTAGGGTGGCTTAATGTGGTTAGGGTAAGTGATTTGATGAGATGGTTAGGGTGAGTGATTTGATGAGATGGTTAGGGTGAGTGATTTGATGAGATGGTTAGAGTGGCTTAATGTGGTTTGGGTGAGTGATTTGATGAGATGGTTAGGGTGGCTTAATGCGGTTAGGGTGAGTGATTTGATGAGATGGTTAGAGTGGCTTAATGTGGCTTGGGTGAGTGATTTGATGAGATGGTTAGGGTGGCTTAATGTGGTTAGGGTGAGATATTTGATGAGATGGTTAGGGTGGCTTAATGTGGTTAGGGTGAGTGATTTGATGAGATGGTTAGAGTGGCTTAATGTGGTTAGGGTGAGTGATTTGATGAGATGGTTAGGGTGAGTGATTTGATGAGATAGTTAGGGTGAGTGATTTGATGAGATGGTTAGGGTGGCTTAATGTGGTTAGGGTGAGTGATTTGATGAGGTGGTTAGGGTGAGTGATTTGATGAGATAGTTAGGGTGAGTGATTTGATGAGATGGTTAGGGTGGCTTAATGTGGTTAGGGTGAGTGATTTGATGAGGTGGTTAGGGTGAGTGATTTGATAAGATAGTTTGGGTGAGTGATTTAATGAGATGGTTAGGGTGAGTGATTTGATGAGGTGGTTAGGGTGAGTGATTTGACGAGATGGTTAGTGTGAGTGATTTGATGAGATGGTTAGGGTGGCTTAATGTGGTTAGGGTAAGTGATTTGATGAGATGGTTAGGGTGAGTGATTTGATGAGATGGTTAGGGTGAGTGATTTGATGAGATGGTTAGAGTGGCTTAATGTGGTTTGGGTGAGTGATTTGATGAGATGGTTAGGGTGGCTTAATGCGGTTAGGGTGAGTGATTTGATGAGATGGTTAGAGTGGCTTAATGTGGCTTGGGTGAGTGATTTGATGAGATGGTTAGGGTGGCTTAATGTGGTTAGGGTGAGATATTTGATGAGATGGTTAGGGTGGCTTAATGTGGTTAGGGTGAGTGATTTGATGAGATGGTTAGAGTGGCTTAATGTGGTTAGGGTGAGTGATTTGATGAGATGGTTAGGGTGAGTGATTTGATGAGATAGTTAGGGTGAGTGATTTGATGAGATGGTTAGGGTGGCTTAATGTGGTTAGGGTGAGTGATTTGATGAGGTGGTTAGGGTGAGTGATTTGATGAGATAGTTAGGGTGAGTGATTTGATGAGATGGTTAGGGTGGCTTAATGTGGTTAGGGTGAGTGATTTGATGAGGTGGTTAGGGTGAGTGATTTGATGAGGTGGTTAGGGTGAGTGATTTGATGAGATGGTTAGGGTGGCTTAATGCGGTTAGGGTGGGTGATTTGATGGGGTGGTTAGGGTGAGTGATTTGATGGGGTGGTTAGGGTGGCTAATGTATGGTTTACTTTATGATAATGTGTACATAATGAGTTTTTGTTTACCTGTACATGGGTTAGGTTGGAAGCATGAGTTCCACAGCACAATGCGTTATCAATGCCTTCAATAGCAACCATTCGTACTGGACCCACATGGTCATTGGGCAAACCTAAACACCTGGACTAGAGAATGTTTTCCAAATTTTCATTGAATTACAAGATTTAACATTTTCATTCTATAAGATTGGTTTGTTTTCATTCTATAAGATTGGTTTAACATTTTCATTTTTTACATTTGTTTAACATTTCCAGTCTATGAGATTTATTAAACATTTTCATTCTATAAGATTTGTTTAACCCTTTGAACCATTAACTCCTGACCATAAAAACCTTGTTCCCCTTGGCTCCTGAGCTAATTGTACACATACAGACTTGATAAAAATAATGAAGACTATGAATATAACAACGTTAATTATTTTAATTAATGTCAAGTTGAATAGGGGTGTAGGACAAAAGGTCAACATAGAGAAAATGACAACATAAGAAGGCCAACTGGACATAAAGCTGACAGCCAAAAGGCAGACACCCAAAAGGCTAACAGTAAAGAACATGTAAAGAAATAAAACTGGTTTAATGAAGCATAGATTATTAGGAAATCAGCCCACTTGACTTACTGAAGATTCTGGCAGAGGTTTAGGGTGGAGGAGATTAGTAGAAGCTTGACTTCAATGACTGCTAAGACTAAACTAAACTATGGTACCTACGGTCGCGTAAGTGAGTTCAAAAGACTATGAATAACTTGGGTACTATAATCGTTTACTAAGTTGAATCAGGCGGTTACGCCGCACGTCGACATGGTGCGATTTGGCGCCCCGGGCTAGACTGTGGACACTTTGAGTTTATCTTTGTGTTTGTGTTTTCTTTGAGTTTGAGTTTGCCTTTGTGGTTGTGTTTGGATTTGGGTTTGTTTTCTTTTTTCTTTGCATTTGTGTTTTCGTTTGCTGTTTTCTTTGCGTTTGTGTTTTCTTTGTGTTTGCGGTTGTTTTTGTGTTTTCGCTTGTATTTGTGTTTGTGTTATGTTTGCGTTGTTTTTTTTGTGTGTGTTTTGGTTTTGTTTGGTTGTGGTTGTGTTTGCGTTTGGATTTGTCTTCGTTTGCTTTTTTGTTCGCATTAGTGTTTGTGTTTTCTTTGTGTTTGTGATTGGGTTTGTCTTTGCGTTTGTTTTTGTGTTTTGGTTTGTGTTTGTTTTGCATTAGTGTTGTTTCCATTTTTTGTGTGCTTTGTGTTTTGGTTGGTCGTGGTTAGGGTGGGCAATGCCAGGTAAATGCTGATTACTAAACACACAAGTTAAGGTCCTTTACAGATACGTTTTTCAGAGATGCCAGTGCAGGGCCTGGCCAGGAAGGCTAGTGTATATATATTATATATATATATATATATATATATATATATATATATATATATATATATATATATATATATTAGTAAAGTAAAATTTCCCTTTCAAACCTGACGGTCTATGGGGCAAGTGAAGTAGAGTTCACTTGTTTCTGTGACCTCTGCATATGAGGTGTGGTCAGCACTATGCCAATGCCAAGCCGCCTTTACTTTCCCTTAAGTCTACTTGTGTGAGTTAGGTACCCATCAGAGTTGGGTGGACTCTCTACCGCTAGACCACTCCGTCCCCCATATATATATATATATATATATATATATATATATATATATATATATATATATATATATATATATATATATATATATATATTAGAAAACTGTCTCACTAAATTATAAATAAAATCATTTCATTGCAAAGTATACTTATCATGAGACAACAAACCACACAGAGATAGGCTCGAACTCATTTCTGGCTAATGGAATAAGCAAATGTTAAAATTTCTTATTTACGCCCAACAAAAATTATGAATAGTGTTCCGTCTTATTTAGCAAATCGGTCAAAAACTATGAATCATGGAAAGTTGATATGTGTAATGGTTTCCTGAGTTCTTTTTTTTTTTTCATTTATTCTTTTAATTTGGAATTAATTCCTTTTTATAGCTAAGTCATTTTTTAGCTTTAATTTGCTTAGTAAAAAACTATTTTAATTAGTTTTATTGGCACCCCGATTTGACTGTTTAAAGGAGAGAATAAGTCATGGAAGTGGTTTAAAGATTTGCCTATTTTTCAGACTACAACTAATGTAGTCTTTTTCTCTCTACACAACAGTGTATTTTTTACTTTCTTGTATATAGGAAGTATAGAGAAAGTATTGTAATCGTGCAAAAAAAAAATCTCACTGATACGGAAAAACATAATTTTGCAATCTTGTCCGTATGTCTGTGTGTGTGTGTAAACACGATAACTTGAGTACCGTTACAGCTAGGTTGATGAAATTTCATATATAAATATAAGTATTTTATCAAAATCGTAGATCCTGATCAACTTTTGAGCAATTTCCGATAACCGGAAGTGGTACTTTTTCTACTTCCAATTTTTCAAAAGCCTATAACTTGAGTACTATTTAAGATGGATAAATGAAATTTCACATGTAAGTGAAAGATCTAATTCTCTATATTCTGCAAAAAAAATTTTTTTTTCAATTTTGCAGGCGTGGCGACCAGGTAGGGCGCGATTTGTTTTTTCTCTTTATACGGCATATAAAAATTAAAGTTGATTGCGATTTCACACCATTCCTCAGATGCCATCAAACTTTGGGGAGTTGATTAGAACACTTGATTGAAGGGTTCTGAAAAAAAAAATGTTCTTAATTCTGCAAGGGGCACCCTCGGAGGTTGCGATTTTTCTCTATTTACGGTATATGAAAAATAAAAGTCGGATGCAGTTTGACACCATTCATCGGAGTGCCATGAAACTTTGGGGAGTAGAGAATACTCCTGGAAAGGTTTCTGCGGAAAATAATTTAAATTTCTTATGGGCGGGAGGGTGGGATTTTTGTCAATACACGATTTGTATCTTAGCACTTGGCATCCGTTAATCGGGCGTCCTGCGTAGTGAGTAAAGGGTACTGCTATATTCAGTGTTAAAACTGCGCCCCAGTCTATTACGTGACCCAAAACGCCCCGTTTTAAATAAAGCCATACACTAAAGACACAATGGGCAACAATAATTGTTGACTATTTGGAATCAGGCGCGTCCCGTGGCGCCCCTGCAGGGTACGATTTGGCGCAATGTCGCTTACTTACTTTGTAAACAGTTTGATATGCAATCAATAAGATGGGCTTTTTAATCAGTGCAAAAGACTATGCATAAAATTGGGTATACAGGCAGGGTGCGATTTGGCGCCCTGAGCTATCATGTGAGCACTATGGCGCCTATGTTAGTTATAAGGAGCACCCTAGATTATTGATAAGGCAGCACACGACATCCGATGATTAAACCAAGCCAGGGGACGTGGCGCCCCTGCAGTTGTGAAATCGTGGGCTCACGAGAGCACCCTCTACGTCCTTGACACAGTGTTTAACGGTGTTATTATGCTGAGTGATTACACTTAAGACTTTCATACAGCACGCCCGTGGTAGTGTAGGTAAACCCGTGCCCCCTTAAGTATGATTCGAGCCCAGGCATTGTTTACTTTTTAACAACTATATTTTAGAAAACAGTCATGCATTTAAGAACATAGGATTGATAAAGCATTGACGAAACACTTCTAATATATTTCGTCAGACTTTTTTTGCCTTTTATGCATTGCTACAGCTTTTATCTGATTTTTCTGAGAAAAAAATATTTCAATTTTGCACAGGCGCTGCACCGGCAGGGTGCAATTTTGTGTCCCAGGTTATCCATTCGCTTTACATTCGCTTTAAAGAGTGCTGTAGACTATAGTTAAGATGGGACGTCAGACTATCCCCGTGGCAATGCGCAGGAACAGGCACGCTAGTATGCTATAATGCATTATCTTTTGACTATAGATTTAATGATATATCTATTTGTTATTTTGATTAGGTTCCAAAATATTCTCAATTTTCAAAAAGATGTGTTCAATAGATCTTCAAATTTAAGAATATAAATATTTTATTTACTGACTAGCGTGTCCGTCCCAGCGTGTTTCGGCGGGCCTTGAAAAATGTCTGACAAAAAAATTTAAAGAGAGTTTCATCAATGTGTTACCAATCCTATATTCGTAGACGCTTGACCTTGTTTTCTAAAACTGAGTTATTTAAATGTAAATAATGCCTGTAATACACTTGGATCATATTCGTCAAAGTAGGGGTTCGTCTACACTTCTGCCCAGCAAGTACCTGGGTGTGGTGTATGAAAGCCTTGAGTGTACATTAATCACTCTCAATAATAGTGAGTTAGAACACATTTCGGAGACCCTACCCCCCACCCCATGTGTCAGGGACAGAGCAGGGCACTCTCATTTTTTTAATATACCGTATACAGAGAAGAATCGCACCCTCCCAGGGCGCCGCCCTTGCGAACTTAAAAAAGATTTTTTTTACAGAAATCTCACCCGAAGTGGGTGGGTGGGTGGGTGGGTGGGTGGATGGATGGATTACATATAGAAAAATATTTATGACAATGACACAAACCCCTGAAAAATATATACATTGATTTTATCCATATATCACACAACTTTTAGCAGAATAGAAAAATAACCCACTAAACATATAAAAAATCATGGTAAAAAAAAAAAGGAAAAGTAAGAACATCGACTCAAGGCTAAATTACTTCAGCACTATTAAACTAATGTTCTATTGGTGTCAAACACTTACACTCTTACACGCACACAAATACACACACACATAGGATGTTTTATAATAATTTACTTGATTTGTAAATTTCCTATGTGGTTTCACCCCAATCCACTTCAGTGGACGTTGTTTTTGGTGTCACCCCCCCTAACCTTTTGGCGTCCATTCCTGCAAACATTATATTAACCCACCTAGAAAAAGCATCTAGGGGCCTAACTCTAACAGCTAGTAATTCAATTGCAAATATAGTTGTTTTTGTAGTAAATTAGAAAATGAAGCTAGCATAAAACTGTGCTCAGATAGTACTAACGATGTTTTTGTATAGTTGTTATTAATACAGCTGGATGTAGCAGGTTTACATTATGGTGTCATCCCCCCCCCCCCCCCCCCCCATCCCCACACTTGTTGGGACTAGTCAACTTTTGCTCTTAAAAGTCTTCTTAATTTTAATTAATCATTTATTTAATTAACTGGAATGATCATTTTTTTTCTTTATACATTTTGCTATTTTTTGCCTTGCTGTATGTGTACAATGGTCTGTTACAATATCTTTTTTCCCCATTGTTTTTCGTTTTTTTTTTTTCATTAATGTTACACTTTGATATTATTTGCTTTTACAGTGTAAAAATCTAGATACTCTTACATAATACTACTATTTTATTTGTGTACATTTTAATTGTATCGTGTGAGGATGTTGCTCACTAGGAGAGGAAAAGTAAGTAACAAGCCCGATAGGGCACTTCCCGGCGCCGCAGGCGCGTCAAATTTGGCACGATGGTGCCTGGGGGCGATAGAACACAAGGGCCGGTGAAGGTTTGCTGAAAAGTCCACGGAGAGGGGGTCAAAACTGACCTCGACAGACAGGCGCCTAATATGGGCTATATTACGAAAAAAAAATTCCTCCGACGACCCCCTTTGAAATTTTGTGAATTGGTAGGAGAATACCTTGGGATGTCACAAAAAACTCAGCATATCTGGAAAACTTCCTAAAGGGGTCAAAACTGACCAGTTGTATTTCCCTATATAATCTTTGTATTTTATGGGAAAAACAGGGTATTTGAAACGGATTTTAAGGCACTTATCCTCTTTACATCTGGCTAATATTTGGCATGCTTATAGGTAAATGGCTTGGCCGTAGGGCAGACCTGTCGGTTTTGCTCAAAGCCCTCGACGAGGGCTAAAAAGTGACAGCGAGTGAAATTCTCTTTATATGAGCTCTATTACGAAAAAAAAATTCCTCCGATGACCCCCCTTGAAATTTTGTAAGGTGGTAGGAGAACGCCTTGGGGTGTCACAAAAAACTCGCCATGTCCGGCAAAAATCGGGAAATTGGTCAAAACTGCCCAGTCGTATTTCCCTATATAATCTTTGTATTTTATGGGAAAAATAGGGAATTTTCAACACAATTTTTAGGTTACTTAACCTCTGTACATCATGCTAATGTTTTGCATACATATCTATAGATGACTAGGCCGTATGGAAAAACTTTTGGTCAGACTCAAAGCCCTCGACCAGGGCTAAAAGATAACTGCAAGTGAATTTCTCCTTATATGAGATATATATATAAATAAATTGACGAACGATCCCCTTAATATTATTTGAGGTGTTAGACCAACCCTGGAGGATAACAAAAAAACTTTATTCCCGTTGGAAAAAGCCATTGTAGTCGTTAAATATGTTCATATATCGTATTTTCTTATACAAGCATAGCAACTGTTTGTTAAAAAAAAGTAAACAAAGACATACGTCGTTTGGTCTATTTTCAAGGGAGGTAACCTTTTTAAATAATTTTTTTTTCAGATAATTGTTACTATTTTAAACAGAAACAGAAAATGACAAAGCATAGCATTTGTTTTAGTAAAAAATTAAGTTGTTAATTAAGCTACGTATCACAATTAAATAAAAAAATTAATTTTAAAAGTCAATGTAATATAAATTATGAGATATACTGTTCATGAAACCTCTGTAGTTCTAATTCAATTTTAGTCATACATTGCGTACTTTTAAATATTTTATTCTGAAAACGGTTGTTAAACAACATACAACAACATCTTCTCTAAAATTAGATTCACTGTTTAAATTTAATCACTCTACACCTCATCCATCACTGAATAATTAAGTATTCAAATTCTGAAATGATTATGAAAACCTAAGCGAAGCTAGGCAGTATGCCTAGAATATATATATATATATATATATATATATATATATATATATATATATATTCGATGGTCTCCGTCAAAAACCATCAATCTCAAAAAAATTCAATTTTCTTTTTTTTTACATAAATCAAAAGCCACTATGATTCCCCATAATGCCTGAAAATATTATAGAAATCTGTAGAATGATTATCAAGATATAATCATTTGAACAAAGCGCTTATTATTTCCAGCGCAAAAGGAAGATCACTATATTTGTCAGTACACTTTTGATTGGAAATGCGATTTTACACCACAGCAGTCAAAGTACTTATATGTAAGGATATTTGATTAATTATTTTTATCTATTCTATTATATTTTATCATTTTAAGAGTATTTGTTTAATATAGCCTATTTCCAGTAGATTTTCAAGAGCCAAACTGATTTCAGCCCAAAATTATTATCTAAATATTAAAAAGTGTTATGTATAACTTAAAAACATAAGCATAACTAAATCACGTTCATTGGACAAAAAGAACCAATGTGGCTGAGACCAAAATTCTCAGTTACAGCGAGAGTTTTAGACTGAGCAAAACTGACTATTTTTTAAACCCGCTATAATTGTGTAAATATTAACAAAACCCATTTTAAAACGCTACAGTATAGTTGGTAGAGAGGTTCTTCGCAAGTATCATTAAAAAAAAAAAAATTTTTATTAGAGCGATCAACTATGCAATAATCAGTTTTTTGTCTCCCCTGTAAAATTTACATTTTCGGAGTTAGGCGGTTTTTGACCGAGACCATCGATATATATATATATATATATATATATATATATATATATATATATATATACGTGAGGCGTCAAAACGGCCAATGACAAAACGGCCCCGTCAAATCGGCCCCGTCAAAAGGGCCAGCGACATATGGACCCCGTAATATAGGCTCCCGACAAAAAGGCTCCCGTCATTTAGGCTACCGATAAATAGGCTCCCGTTATATAGGCTCCCGACAAAAGGGCTCCAGTCAATAAGGCTCCTGACAAATAGGCTACCGTCATTTTGGCTCCCGACATATAGGCTCCCGTCATTAGTTTTTTCCACAAAACGGCCCCCGTCATTACGACTCCCGACAAATAGGCTCCCGCCATTTAGTTTCTTCACAAAACGGCCCCCCGTCATTACGACTCCCGACAAATAAGCTCCCGCCATTTAGTTTCTTCACAAAGCGGCCCCCCGTCATTACGACTCCCGACAAATAGGCTCGCATCATTTTGGCTCATGACAAAAAGGCTCCTGTCGATTTGGCTTCAGACAAAAGGACCACTGACATAATACCGTTTCTGATATAGATATAAATATAGATATGGGGGGGGGGGGGGGGGGGGGGAGGGGGCTAAAATATTTTTGCGGTTTGGCCCATTTTTTCTAGTTCCGCCACTGAATACCACATATGCATCTCTTGTTCGGCAGGCCTTATTTTTATATTAGTTTATCTATTATAAAATATAGTATGTTTTAATTTAAGGGTCATCTATCTATGACATCCATAATTGAGTCGGTTATAGGCTGTTCCAACTCAGTGTGTGGGGAGAAGGGTCCACGATATACCTTCCTACCTGCAGTATGCTTGTAGGTTATCAAAAAAAGATGCTGTTATCATATAAACATCATGTATATCATACATTTACATTTCTGTGCTCGCTTTTAAGCAACAGATCTTTTCTGTTGTAAATTAAACATTATCAAAACTTTAGAATTGGTGGAATTTAGCTGTTAAGGGGTCATCCATAAATGACGTCACACTCGAAGGGGGGGAGGGGCGGTCCGTAATTTTGTGACGATGTGTGATGAGGGGGGGGGGGGGGGGGGGGGAGGTAAAAATCGTCAAAAAAGCATGACGTCATTTAAGGATCACCACTAAGGGCTCGATTTATTTGTGAATTAATGTTGGTTCATGAAAAACAATTTCATTCGGGCATTAAAAAGAATTTATAGTAGTAGTGGAGGTAGGACAAAATGGTTACTTTTATGCCAATAGTGGTCATTCATTGGTCTGGAGCCAATATGTCTGTCGGGAGTCATTTTGTCAAAAGCCAATATGTCGGGAGCCCAATTGCCTGGAGCCAATATGTCGGGAGCCTATTTGTCGGTAGCCAATATGTCGTAAGCCCATTTGTCGGGAGCCCATTTGTCTTGAGCCCTTATGTCGGGAGCCAATATGTCGGGAGCCGCTTTGTCGGGAGCCAATATGTCCTGAGCCTATTTGTCAGGGGTTAATATGTCGGGAGTCCATTTGTCGGGAGTCCATTTGTCGGGAGCCTAAATATCGGGAGCCCATTTGTCGGGAGCCTATATGTCGCAAGTCAATATGACGGGAGCCCATTTGACGGGAGCCAATAAGTCGGGGCCTTTTTAACGGGGCTATTTTGACGGGGTCGGTTTGTCGGGAGTCGATTTGACGGGGTCATATTAACGGGGCCGCTTTGACGGGGCCGATTTGTCCCAGGTCGTTTTGACAGGGCACCATATATTTATATATATCTAGATAGATAGATAGTTAGATAGATAGATAGATAGATAGATAGATAGATAGATAGATAGATAGATAGATAGATATACACAAAGTAGGCCTATAGGTATACAAATATATAATGTTAAGTACCAGTATTAAATAACAAAACAACAGGTTATGATGAAGTGTGTAACCAGTTTAAGATGAAGTAAGCTATGAACTTTTTTATAAGTTTACATACTTTTGTTAGTTCAGGGTCATCTTTATCTTTGTAGAGTGTTGTCAAAACAGCTATGTTGTTCCGTATACATTCATTGACTTTTGTCTCAATCTCAACCATCTGATCTGAGCTCAAGCTGTGAGTGTTTAACTCAATGCTCACTATGTCAGTACCCAAACTCCTAAAACATCAAAACAAAAAACTCTCTAGTATCCACTAGGTTTTCATTTGCTGTCTACTTTCAGCCAACATTTGTGGAAATTGCTCAACACAGGCTGGACTTTTAATATCAAACAGCTGGCTAGTGCTTTTTTCTGTCAATGGTAAACAAAATAAGAAACATACTTATATCCTCTAATGGGCTTTCAAGGAAATAAACACCGTGCTTATATTTTCAAATGGTTTAGAAGAAATAAGCATGTTGCTTGATTCCTCTACCCTATCAAAACATTTGAGGTAAAAAAACAAAACTGCCTACTTATCACATAGATGCCAATACAAAAGATGATTATTTCAGTGTAAAATTCTTAATCTTGCTCTGATTAAAACTATTATTACATTTCTTAGACTAACCTAGCACCTTTCTCTAACAATAACACACAGTCATAACCCTAAACCTTATTTTGATGTAATGCATACAAATTCTATTATTCATCTCATCTGCACTATAAACTAGAAAAACCAGCACAGCTCTATTCATACTTTCTTCAAAGTGGCCTCAATTCTGCCCAGTCAACACTAAAAACAAACCCCATAACATAGCATTATATAAAATCAGTCCATAAATACAAGATCTATATAGATCACTGTTGACCAAAGCAAGCATATTGTTTGGTTTGCCTTACTGTACTAGTATAATCCCTTCTGGAATGTAGAAAACAGGCTGGTCTATAAATGGCAATCTGCTGGTTCACTAAAGCCTATTATATACAAAACAGTACATGTGGCAAAAAAAGATCTTGTAAACAAAGACTTATGTAGCAAAAAAGATCTTGTAAACAAAGACTCATGTGGCAAAAAATCTTGTAAACAAAGACTCATGTGGCAAAAAAGATCTTGTAAACAAAGACTCATGTGGCAAAAAAGATCTTGTAAACAAAGACTCATGTGGCAAAAAAGATCTTGTAAACAAAGACTCATGTGGCAAAAAAGATCTTGTAAACAAAGACTCATGTGGCAAAAAAGATCTTGTAAACAAAGACTCATGTGGCTAAAAAGATCTTGTAAAAAAAGACTCACGTGGCAAAAAAGATCTTGTAAACAAAGACTCACTTGGCAAAAAATATCTTTTAAACAAAGACTCATGTGGCAAAAAGATCTTGTAAACAAAGACTCATGTGGCAAAAAAGATCTTGTAAACAAAGACTCATGTGGCAAAAAGATCTTGTAAACAAAGACTTATGTGGCAAAAAAAGATCTTGTAAACAAAGACTCATGTGGCAAAAAAAAATCTTGTAAACAAAGAACACAACTCACTAGCATTTATAATTTAATTTAAACATATGTTACATCTACAACTAGTTAACATAAAGAGCAACAATGCTTTAGAAGATGGGTTAGAGTGCTGGAGAGAAAATGTGACATACCATGAAGTTGTCTGATAGCCAAATGTCTGGTCTATAATGGCAGTTATTAAATGTTGGGCTGGAGAGAAAAGAGAACATACTTATTTTCTTTTATTTGAATCAATTTTGAATTATATAAATAATTGCATACTTTCTGTGTTTTTTGGAGATGTTAAATAGAATAGTTATGTCAATGTTAGGGGACTTCTGTTTGTGTAAGCCCAAGGGTTAGGATAGTACAGCACACGATAGTTCAGTGGCTTACTGTTCATCCTGTAATTGCCAACCCAGTAATAAGTCATGGTAAACATATGGTTACCCTGACTTATTATCACAAGCTCAGGGAGTGTTGGTATTTTTGTATTTCAGCAGTATACCACCAAGTTTAAGCTTGTGAGTCAAATGATTCAACATAACTGTTCTATTCATGTGGATACACAAAGTATATATCAGGTTTATTACATATGGTTTTCACAGCAAGTTTATCACAAATAGTATACACCATGAGTATTTTTTAAGTAAAAAATGAAATGCCAGTTTTAATGTTAATGTCAAATAAATGAGAAGTATAAAATATCACAATTTTTGGTAAAGGAGAAAATAAAGTGGGATTGAGCCCCCCCCCCCCTCTCCCCCCCCCCCCCCTGAACCTAAATGAAATGCTGCTAAAGCTATAGCATTCACACAATCACAGACAGACAGGATTGCAAAACTAAGGTTTTCCAACTCAGGGAGGTGTAAAGCATCAAGATTTGTCAAAATGGCAATTTTGATTTGCATGATTACAGTACACTCAATTTACAAGTAAGTAAATATAGCTGATTGACAGAGCAATTCTGTTTACTAAGTATGAAATCTAGTGATTGATCACACTATTTCTTTTACTAAAAAAAATACCTTACTGGCTAATAAAACAATTTTATTTTTCAAAATTTTTACAGACAGTCCAAACTATTTGTTGAGTGAAATATAATTGGCTGAATAAATTTAAAAACAAACAAACAATATTTCTATTAGTTCTAGAAGACCAAATATTTTTTCTAAAATACTAATGAAGTGCAAAAGTAGTTATAAATATTGTTGCTATTTTGTACTCCATGTGAAATTGAGTTGAACATTCACCTGTGTGTTGTTGCATGTGATCAAACCGCCGTGGCCAGTCAAGCTTGACAAAAACTTTGGCGTTTTCTTGAATCTCTGACTGTATAAAGTGCACAGCATTTTCTCCAACTCGCAACACTCTCAAAACAGGAATATCATTTATCTGAAATTATTAATTTAAAGGATCTAATACAATGTGTAACTTTTTTGTAAACGAGGATTACAAAGGAATATAAGAAACAACAAAAAAATTTGATACTTTCACGGAGTCGAGTGTTAGATTATTAAAGCCCTCATGGTCTAAATGCATGGTTTAAAAAATTAATACTGAAAGTGTTGGGAAATAATTTTCATTTTTCAAGCTGATAGTAATAATTGTCAGCATGTTCATTAAACACAATTTTAAAAAAATATCATCTTTTACAAAAATTCTAATTATGTCTGAAAATTATTTATATTTAGTCCTTTAGCACTTACTTCCCTTTGATAAATTAGGAAAACACAATTACTTCCCTTTATAAAACATTGCATTAGTGGAAAAGAATTTACTTTTTATTACTTTGTTTTGGTGTTGGGAAAAAAATAATTACATAATTAGCAGGGATTGATCTAGTGCAAATGTTGTAGGTATTTTTAATACTGCCTTTTATTTATTCTATACACTCTACTTACAGTTTACAAACAATTTGTAAAAATAACAAAATATATAAAATAAAACAGACTTCTGTTTCAAAATTCTGAAAATATACAACTCAGTTCAAATTTTTTTAAAATATGTATGCATAATCAGTGCTAAGTATATTGACAGGATGTAAGAGGATTTAGGTATGTTGTGTATTTCCTTTATCGTTATGAAAACTGGATCTGCACTTTTACCAGATCCGTAAATTTAGCAGATGCAAAAATTTTCAACTTTAACAGGTATGAAATTTAACCGTAATGGAACCTGAATTGAAACCCTGAAGAACTTTAACCTAAACCATAATCCTAATACTAACTATTACTATCTACATGTACATACACTTCTTCTAAAAGTAGACACTTAAATTAGGCATTTATTTTTTTATGTCTCTATAATAAATACATAATTTTTTTTTTGTGTATCATTTTCGGAATTCAATTTTAAAAAATTCTAATCTATGTTTGTTCAACAATCAACGATGCTTTTCTGTTTTGTGTAGTCATTATACATGGGAGGGGGGCCTAACCCCTATTGAAGAAATGCTTGAAAGAAATTATGCATGGATTTGACAAATGAATTAATCTGTAATTTCAGTGTCTTTATTATCAAGTATCAGTGAATCCTTATTATGCTGTTTTGTTATCAACATAATATTTTTAATTTGATTTTTCATAAATCAATTACGTCATTTTATTGTGTATACTTTTCTGCTGTTAAAACTTTGCATGTTTCATTTCATATTGATAAATTCCTATTACATGTGACGTCACTATAATCCCCTGTGAAATTTTTTATTTTCCTGGTGTTTTCTTTAGATTTAGATTTAAGAGCATTCTTGTCAGACAGACAGACATAATAGTGACGGAATAGTGAAACTATTACATAGAATGAAAAAAATGATATTTTAAAGTGGTTTCAAACGAATAAAGTTTACTTACAGTTCCTCTATCATCAGGCTGAAAGTTAAAAACATTATTTGTTTATCAATGACGTTAATGGTTTAATTATTGCATATAAAATATTTTATTTTTAGAATATTTAGGCCTATATAATTTGACTCAGTATTTATATATTTAAAAAAAACATTAGCACTACAACGTAATCTACATGCATGAGCTGTAAACATAATGGTATCTTTGGAAATAATTACCTGCCCTCCACCTTCAGGAAACAAAATGGTGTCTTCTAGAATGACTTCAAAGCACTGGATCTTAATCAATTTACCATCATTTGAGACATAGCTGCTTGCTGCTTTACAACTTTTAACATGAGTATTCAACTAAAATATAACATTTTAAAAAAAAGATCAAATCCTTTTTCCTTACTCTGTCCATATAAAAGAGTAGTCTATATCAAAGAGTCCCTTTAAATATTTAAAAAATCAAGCATGGTGTAATTAAAATTAGTATGGTTATAAATCCTGGCTTTTTTTCAGAATGGATGTATTTTCCACACATATAGAACATATTCTCTCACTAGAGACATTAGCTTCCACACGTACAATACATCCTTTATTAGTAGGGAGGTGTAAAACAACAATTGTGAAAATCTTTTTTAATTTTTGTATATGTTTATACCCCCTTCTCTTTACTTTATACTCTATAGATCTATATGTTAAAGTAAAAAATCATCATTCAATAATAAGATAGAGAGGAAATTATTTGTAACAATTCTGTGATTGGGTTACATCATAGTAGTTTAGTACATCTGCTTTAGTGCAGGTTTAATAAAAGTTAAAATAAAATAAAAACATAAGCCTAAAAATAATTCAGAAATTAAATATTTTTAGAATCAATGTTATAAAAGTTGCAAATTCAGAAAACTTGAATTTGACTTTTTGAATTAAGTCTAAGTTATAACCTGATGTTTCACTTTTGTAAGAGAAACATTGATTGGCAGTGCGTGAACTCTGTAATTTACCTTCTGACAGCTGCACATATCATAATTTGTTTACAAAACTTTGGCGATAATTTTTAAATAAAATTATGCTATTTTAAACCACATGACCTTGTTCTGCCATTTTTGTTTACATTTTGTATGATAAATTTATGCTAGCCTTTTGAATAGCCGGATGTCTTCGTTTCTGTCACCATTACCAAACAGCTTTTGCCTTTTTAAAAAATTGTGTTTAATAACCGAAAATACCGAAACGTCAAATATATGCACTCTTTCCGACAAAACCCAAACAGTGAGTAACTTATAACCATATTATTATTAATTCTAATTACACCATGCATGACTTTAAAAATATTTAATGGGCCTCATTTAGTGACTATACTCGGTAGGGTCCATTGAATAATAAACCAAATACTATGTCTAAATTTATCAATAAATCAATATAGTCAACAGCCTAGGCCTATAGGCCAGAAATTAATTTTAAACAGCAGCGTTTAAGTTTAAGAGCAAAATTTGCTAATTAACTTTAAACTTTTTTCATTTGTTACTTCTTCCACACATTATTACTAGATGTCTAGATCTAGATACCTTTCTATCACATTATGTGACTTCTAACTTTTGCTGAATATGACGTCTAATGTAAAATCATAGTTACTCTGTGCCAATAGGCTATATAATTTCATGAATTTGCTAACCTCTTTCAGGTAACTATTCTGTTGACACATCAGGCTCATTTTGGTTAGCTCCAAGGATACCTAACTAAAGTAGATCTAGTAACTAGTTATTTTATATTTAATAGACCTAAATAATATAAAATATTGGTATTTCCATTTCAACCATTGGACATCATTGTAGTTGTATCCAAAGTTTGTTTCAGAACATCAGTATTTATTTAATAAGGCCTAATGAGTAATGACCTAGTAAATCATATGTTATGTATGTAATTGTAATATGTAGGCCTAGATATTAAAATTTAATCTATGTATTATGTAGTAGTAATAAGAGTATGTAGCCATTGACCGTGGTTAACGGCAGTGATTTATTATGCCTATTTAGTATTTAGGCTATTTAGGCTTAAATCAGGGGTCGACGTGGTCGAGGCGGTAAAGCTCATGGTTGCTAAACCGAAAAGTCTTGAGTTCGAACCCTCGGGCAGATGAGGCTCGTTAGCTGGGGACAGCCACTCTTCTAGGAGAGACAACTCCAAAATCAAACAACTACTGCCTTGTAGTTTGTTCTTGGTTGGACAAAGGCTATGGAAGCAAATCCAAAAAGAAAAGCAGGCTGAAATCGGAGTCAATTGCCTCAATGGTGCATAACCAGTTGACACGTAGCCTTAATTGTGATAGAAGCATGGTCGAGTCGGCAAAGCTCATGGTTGATAAAATTCGAAAAAAGTCTCGAGTTCAAACCCTCTGGGAGATAAGGCTCAATCCCTCCCAACACTAAAAATTAAGAACGAAAAAGAAGAAGAAGGCTTAAATCTAGTAGTAGTAGTAGTTGTAGTAGATCTAGTTATTTTAGGCAGTAGGGTAGACTGCTCTAACTTCGACCGATCCGTTTTCTCACGAGCTGAAGATTCGCTTCTCTTCGTTATATCTCGTGAGCTAATCAAAATAGGGTTTTCATTTTTTCACTGTTAAAAACGTTATCCTCTGCTGATTGGTTTGGTATAAATAGATAGCCAATCGCTATGAAGGAAATAATACTATATGCAAGCCTAGACACTGACCCAAATTTTTCTTTTTGGTTTTTAACTTCGACCGGGCTGCTCTAACTTTGACCAGCGGCTTGTTCTAACATCGACCGCTCTAGGAATATGACCGTAGCCTGGGCCTATTATTAAAAAACACACAACAAAGGCCAACTAAATAAGTATTTAAAGGTTTTAAAATAACTTATCTTCAAATGAAAACAAAAACAAACAAAAAAGAAGTAAACACAATGACATTTTTAAAAGTAAAAAAGGAAAAAATATTTATAGTAATTTACAGACAACACATGTAGGCGAGCCTACAACACATCATTAATTTAATTTTTTTGCAGCCTTCTCTTTTCTCACATCTGCCCGTCTTTTCTTCTCATTCGACTTGCTTTCTTTTTCCTCTGCCTGCCTTTTCTTCATTCCAACTACCTCATCACTGGTCAACAACCTGTGAGTTGTAATTTTCCGTGATGAGCTTTTTTTTTTCCGCCGTTGGCAAGACGGGTTTATCAAAAACGCTTGATAATTCCGCCAACCATTTCTCATGTGTTTCACTTCCACTTGCTTGGTCAACGGCTTCATCCTCTTCGATGCCACTTATGTCCATGGCAAGCTTTAGGATGTCCGAAAAGTTTTTGCTAGGCCTAGCACCCGTAGCACGTATTTCACCTATAGGCCTACTTTCATTTTGGTCCTCAGGAGGTGACCACCATGGGTCATTGTTGAGGACATCCGCGTCGACCATTGTTGCTTCAGGAGCAGAGGGAGCATATGCTTCCTCGAACATGGCCATATCCTGAGAGACAGCAGAAGCAATGGGCTGAACTTGCTCTTGATCGCTTGCCACTGGTGTTGGAGGTGCTTGCTGGTCAAATACCTCACTTGGTAATGTTTCACTTCTTGTGACAACCGTTGGATCAAACGGATAGATTCCGGTAGCCTGAAAAGCTTTTTTGATTGTGCTTGGGCAAAAGGCTTGGCTCCATGCTGCAGTGAAAAGTTTAGTCCATGTGACTTTACTTATCACGTTTGCCGGGTGCTCCGAAAGAAATTCGATGCATGCTGCACCATAATACTTCTTGAACGGCCCAAAGACACATTTGTCCTACGGCTGCAACTTGTGTGTTGTATGGGGTGGTAAGGCGAATATGTGTATATTATTTTCATTCCTTGCTGTTTCCAGCAGATCCACAACCTCATGGGAGCTGTGTGAATCTAACAGGAGAAGCTGGGGGCGGTCTGTGCCACAATGTTTAAGGAAAACTTGCTTGAACCATTGGACTCCCAAAAGATCTTCCATCCACCCAGACTCCTGATAAGTCTACACAGCTCCCTTTGGCGCATCACAGACATTGAAGGACGAAACTGCTCGCTGGGTTTTGCCCTTCACAATTATCATGGGGGGCATTGCCTCGCCAGCGGCATTGACCGTGGCAAATGCTGTTATGTTGTCGCAAGACCCGGTCACACCCCTCTTACACCTTTCTGGGCAACTACTTTGGTTGGCTTGTGCTGTAGCTGAATCCCAGTTTCATCACAATTCCAAATGCAGTGAGGCTGTGACATAAGGTGGGAATCAGCCAACAGTTTCCTCAGGTCATCAAAGTAGTTCTTAACGACATTGCTGTTTAGCATTGTCATCCTACACTGAGGTAGAGCTTCAGGGTTTCGGATGGTCAGTTCGGGGTGTCGTAATTTCAATTTCCTCCAATATCCCTCTCCAGGAATCCCATTTTTGAATCATGTCTGGATTTCCAGACGCTTCGTAAGGTTTCTTATCATTGCTAGAAGGCGGCGTTTTGTATAAGGAAACCCCGCCTTCGATGCCTCCAGGACCCTCAAGACAATTTCATTTTCTAAAGCTGGATCGATATCACAGCTTAGGCCTGGCATAGACCCTTCTTTTATACGGCCTTTTACGTGGTCAATTATGGTTGTTTTGGGGACCCCAAACTGTAAAGCTGCCTTTCCGTAGGACTTGCCCTTATTAACAGCATCTACAGCTTGACTAAGGCTTTCAGTCTCATATGTAGCATATGACCTTTTTTCCTTAAGGCTTTTTTGCCTGTTGATAAAACAAATACAAGACATTTGTTTTTAATTACATTTTTTTTAAAAAAGGCTTATAGGCCTAGCCTAGTGGTCAAATTATACTTTATGCTACGCTAGGTGGACATTTGGATAGATCGGTCGAAGTTACAACATCCCATTTTTTACATGGTTCTAACTTCGACCGATATGTTTTTCACAATCTATATATATATAATTCTCTTCTGGGAGCCGTTAGAAAACAAGCTGCAAGCGCCTCCTTGCAGTCCCCTCTCTTTCTCTCTATCACTATCACTACCACCCCCACCCCACCCCCACATTGTCTGGTGAGCTGTGGTCACACTGTTTACATTTTACAATCATAGAGACGGGTTTGGTGACTGCTATTAGGGGCAGATAATTTAGTTTGAAACGATTTTAAACTTAGAGGAGGTAACTAAGAGGAGGCTGCTTTCACGTGGGGGGGGGGGGTTTAGTGTTTTTAAGCAAATATTTTCAGTGGCAGCATTGGTATTGTCGAATTCACAAATTATAAATTACTGAAAAGTAGAAAAAAACTACTAAATAGCGGCGTATGATACGCAGCGGGTCGGCTCGTTATTTTTATTTTTAGAGCCCTAAATAAAAATTTAAAAAGTACATATATGTAGATTAACCTGTATTATAAACTCTTTTCATGTTTAAAAAAGTTTAAAACTATTTTTACTTACATTTTTGGCATTGTGAAGCACTGCAAGAAACAGTTGACAAAATGGAAATTTGATATTTTCACTCGAAAAACTCATTGACGCCAAAGGGCCTAAATTTGTGAGTAAAGAGCGGGAAAACGGCTAAAAATGGACATGTCATTACAAAAGGGAAATCCCCCATAGTTCAATTGTGCAACTTAATATATAAATATTTTTTAGCCAATAGCATTTATTTATGTTTTAATAAATTATTTTCTGACCAAAGACGGAATTCGGTCGAAGTTAGAACCCGGTCAAAGTTAGAGCAGTCTACCCTAGCCTTAAAAAAGAAATTTTTGAGTATTTTATCCACCAAAATGAGTTAGTTAAAGGAGGTATTAAGAATTGCATTGGTACCAAATTTATATTTCTAGCTTTAATTGGAGAGAAGAAATGTTTAAAATTTATTTAAAATGTAGTCTGTTAAATTTTGTGTAAAAAATTAAGCAAGTGGGAAATAAAAATAATTTTATAAAATATGTTTGAATTCTAATGATAAATAATGACACAGGGGTGGTTCTTTCCTGTAAATGTTCATTAATAATTGTGCAAGCTTGTTTCTGTTTGGTGGTAGATCTATGCTTTATTTTTAAAAATGTACATTTTTGCTATGACTATACAACATGGCCGATGAATGTCTGAATCTTTAAAAAATTCATTAAAAATGTGTTTGTAAAATTAAATCACAATTTCTTTATAACCTCAGTAGATTTTTAAAATGTGGTTGTTTTTTTATTGCAAATTAATATCATATTAATTTTAAATTAATAAGTTAAATAAGAGACAGTGTTAAAAAGAAAATTTGAAAAATCAGTCAAGAGCTCTGAGCAGGTTTTTGTATGAAAATTATCTCCCGTCGTCCAAATGCTAGATCTACATACTAATTTAGTAGTAGATCTGGTAACTATTTATTAAATATTATTTAGTATCTATAGTTTTAGGTAAGTAAAATCTGTCGAGACTAGTAATGTGAAAAAAAGGGGACTTATTAAATTTTCGTAATTATTTCACATTTTTAGGAGGATTTATGTTTTGAATTTGAAAATTACAAAAACGTTTCAAAGTTTCATTCATGTACCTGTTTTTAAACATTTGTATTGAAACTTTTCAGTAACAAATAAGAAAGACTAGCCGTGTTTTAATCAGATGCATCCAAGCTCATTTAGATCTCCTATTTACTTTAACTGCTTTAGCAGCCATCTTGTTTAATTTATTTTTTTATAAACTTATAGTTAGAGATTCAGTGTCAGGGGAAACCACTCTAATTTACAGATGGACGCTGTTTATAAAGCAAATCTTGCTCGCAAACACTGCTGTTTAAAGTTAATTTCTGGCCTATATTGATATATTTAGGCTTATATATATATTTAGCCATTTATTTTCAATTTTGGTTTATTGTTCAGTTATTTATAACATTTTACACAAATATATCTGTAATATATCACATTATACTTATAGATCTACTTTTATTAAAGTATTAAAGCCTAGGCAACTTTTTTTCACATTAATAGATCTAGCCTCTGCCAATTTTACATACCTAAAACGATAAATTACCAGTGCACTACTAAATTACTAAATCTAGATCATCATAGTCTCTAGACTAGATCTAGAATAGATATGGGGAGAATTTTTATACAGGTGTCCGATAATGGGATTTGGATGATTATAGATACCTATGCCCGACAATAGACTCTTAAATAAAATAGGTGTGTTGGGTTGTTAGTAGTATTGTAATCTTGACTAATTTTATGGTTAGAAATTAGGGTTAGTCGGGTTAGGTGTATGGTAGGACCAGGTTTGGGGTTAGGGACAGGGTTAGCATTGACATTGTCATTAGCATGCCATGTGTGTATTAACTGTATTTTACTATTTATTTAACTACCAGTAAACTAACACCCTTTTTTTAAAGAAGATTCTATTTTCAGACACCGGTGTAAATATTCTCCCCTAACCCTGCCCAACATAACCCGTAGTAACCCCAATTTGAAGAATTTCTAACCATAAAATTAGTCAAGATTACAAAGTAACAATGCTAGATCTAGATTCTAGATC